AAAGGTTCTACACCATCTGCGTCACACTTGTACGTACGGGTAATGTATCCACAATGTCCGTAGACCCACGAACAATGACTTCTTAACTGCACGTGTGCTCGTGCTCTTCTGAACGGGTTTCACGTGTCCCTTGGACATCGAACAGCCAAGACAGGGTAGCAGCGGTCCATCCGTCAGCTGCACTCCCTGCTGCTCCACCGTGATCCTGAGCAATGTCTCGTGGGTATGGCCGTGCGCGAGGTGGTACTCGTTGAGGTTAGTGGGGTTGGCTGCTTTCGCATCGCCAGCAACAATGAGTGCGGCACAGGCGGTGTGTAGCGTTGGCTTTGTTTGATAGCCTCGTTGGGTCAGCAGCTTTCCAGTCCGGGGGAACCACACCTCCCCCCCGGCTTTCGTGATCAGCGTGAGGCCCCCCTTCATCCCCGAATACGTGTGGCCTTCCTCCGCCAACGAAGACAGCGAGAGGACGTTGTAGGGGGCCTCTTGTACATGGGCAGCATTCAGTACTGGTACGGGTACTCCACCATCTTCCGTCTGTGGGACTAAGGTCACATCTCCGTATCCTAGAAAAGGAGCGGCGGCCTTGTCGCCTCCGATCCCCTTCACCCAACCGCTACGCTCACGGTAGTTCACGAGGTTGGCTGCACATCGGAACATGGAGCAGCAGCAAAAGCTTCTTCCTTCGCCGAAAGTGATCGTTGGTGCTCCTTCCACTGCGAACCATCGCAATCATATTTCGCTATGGCCTCGCGCAGGCCGTCCTTCACCTCCTTGGAGAACATCGGTGGGGCGCGGGACAAATCTTCCGGCGCCGATCAGGCCTACGTCACCAGCCCGTCAATGATCGCTTTGAGGCGATCCGTGGAGGATACAATTTGCGGGTCGCAGCTTTCGGGGCTGTCTTCATCGAAGCAGTCGTCTGATTGTCCCTCGTCGAGAAAGAGATCGAGTTCATCGAGCAGCATCGTCTTGGCCGCGTTGAGGGCGATTTCGCGGGCAAGGGCGTTGGTGACTGTGGTCTCAGTGAAGTGGATGTCGGGCTGAAGGTCCAGGGTGTGGTGACCTAGGTGCCGAAACACCAGGTCTACTGATTGTGGTCCCCTCGCTTTGTTGACGTTTTCCACTTTGTTTCTCCTCTCTTTGTCTTGGACAACGCAAAAGGCAGGCACATCCCCACGCTCATACGGGTTAACCGAATAAACGCGCGTGAGGATGGTGTACTGGTCGAAAATGATCGGCGGCTGAGCTCTCCAATCAAGGATTACGGCCTTGGGCGAAGCGGCTACAAATGGCGTTTCGATCCCGCCGGCAAGAGTTGATTTCCCTGCAGGGTGTAGGAGAGGGCTTACTGTGACTATTCCGTCACGAATGACGCGCGTGCCCTGCACTATCAATTCGCGGTGGCAGTGCTTGACGTTGTCCACCACGGCCTTGATCTTACTGTCGCACAGTATGGTGGCGGTTTGTGACAGGCACTGCCATGAATCACGCGAGTACAAAGGCAATCAGTGCGGGGCGATGGGTTGGTAAGGAGTGCGGGCGGGAGAAACAGCTGTAGGGAAATTAAACCCAACGAAAATCGGAGGATGGGAGGACTTTTAAAGGGCAAGAAAGACTTCTTCTACCAGCGCGTGGGGCCTAATTGGCCTGGCCAATGAATGCGGATATAGGCGACATAGCCTACATGTGCACGTTGGCTCATGGGAACGCCATACAAAGCTAGGGAGATACAACTCGATGTTGTTTGTTCCGATGTCGCGGCGGTGTCCGTGAGAGTGTCTGTGAGAGTTACCATTGTTGATTGGCCCCAAGCCGAGTGCTGCTGGATGAGCACGGTTGTCCCGGTTGACAATGCGAAGAGATGGTAAAGTCGTTTCATTGGTTGTCCTCGTAGACACAAGCAACGGAAGAGATTGGGCACCCGGGTGCATCACAAACACCGAGGCACGCGAGCAACAGTCGCAAGACGCATTCGGAACTCGGAACACATGACAGCAGGGAACGCGCGACAACTTGCCAAAGATTCTACTACCGGAGATACCCCGAATATCCAAATGACCGATGGACGGCCACGCACTTGCGCACTTGAATAGCTCAAAACCACACATGAGTACTACCGCAGTAGCCTTCGTAAGGATGGCATAATCCACCTCACGAACACCCTCCATGATTCTGCGCATCATAACGAATGCTCTCAAAACCAAAGCGTTCAGGGTACTCAAAGGAAGCTCCAAAAGTAAACAAAATAAAACAAACGAAGGGGANCGCAGTAGCCTTCGTAAGGATGGCATAATCCACCTCACGAACACCCTCCATGATTCTGCGCATCATAACGAATGCTCTCAAAACCAAAGCGTTCAGGGTACTCAAAGGAAGCTCCAAAAGTAAACAAAATAAAACAAACGAAGGGGAACCCGGCCACCGGATCAAAACCCTCCGCCCCCACGGGTCATCCTGCTGATTGAACTGTCAACACAATCAACACAGCAGTCACAACGTTGCAAACCCACGCGTCTACAACTGTCAGACATATGTACTACCCCTTTTCAAGTAGTCCCCTCTGTTGAGTAGCTTTGTGCGTCGGTGCCTTGGCGCGCGGGGTCCCTTGGTTGGGAAATAAAAGAGCCAGCGGCGCGGTAGCCGCCAACGGTACAGTGTAGGAACTATGATGGGCGTGACACCCTTCTCCTTTGGGATGGAGCGTGATAGCTCGGGTATGGTATCTCTGGATGTGGCGTGGAAGCCTGGTGACGTGATAGTCGTGGTGTATATGTATTGGTAAGGACGTGGATGTCCGGAAGGCGTGATAGCCGGGTGGCGTGATAGCCGGGATTGGCGTGGTAGCCGTGGCGTGATAGCCGGGGAAAAAGGACTTGATTGCACACAGGAAGGAGGAAAAAGAGGAAACAAAAAACAAGTGAGAAACCACAACACACAGTCACCATATCCGTTGTAGACGCACATATACCCCCACCCCCAATCCTGAAATATGCGGCAAAGTTGGTACCACCAAATCTAATCCATAGCAACTGCTGAACCCCCAAACTCCCCGCTCCATCTGCTCGGAAATTTTGCTTGCAATAATCTGTCGACGCTGTGAGTACGTCCAACAGCCCCCCTACTCGCTGCATTGGCAAGATTACACCCGGACTTAAATATACTATGCTTACTATCCTCCCACACCAAAAACCTGAAACAAAATACAGCGCAAGACATTCCCTTCGTCTTAAACTGTATTCTTTTCCTAACACTTAAGACCTTTAAACCATAAACATTCGTTAGGTTTCCCATCGGTTTGCATTCATTGCCAACCATTACACCAGAAACACTTTCGACAATTTCTACCGGTCAACCCCGAACTCAATTTCTCAGAAAATCAAACAAATCAACACAAAAGCCAACAAATCGGATAAGACGAAGACATAGATAAAGCTCGAAGGCAAAAAGAATCTCCTGGACTTTTCACTTCAAATTCATCACGTAGTCCCGGTGGAAAACAACCTCTCGCTCAGGTAGCGCCTTCGTGAGGGAATCGGCATGCTGATACTGCGACGCTACGTGGATGATCTCTACCTCCTTCTCATCTACGAGCTGCCTGAGGAAGTGATGCCGCACGTCGATGTGCTTCGAGTTGGAATTCGAGATCGGGTGTTTTGCGATCTGTATAGCACCTTCGTTATCCTCATACAGTGGAATGCATGGCCGCAACTCCTTCGGCAACATGAAACGCCAAACCTGCCTCAAAAACAAAATCTCCTTCCCCATGTCCGCCATTGCCACGTATTCAGCCTGCGTGGTAGACAAAGTCACACACTTCTGAGTCTTGGAGAACCATGCAATTGCCCCTCCTGCACACATCACTACCCCTCCCGATTCCGACCTACGGTCTGCCGCACGTGAAGCGTAATCCGCGTAGACAAACGTGATCAACGAAAATCCCGAAACCGTCCCCCTCTGAAAAGAAATCCCGAAAGAACTAGTCCTAACTGCATATCCTAAAAAACTTAGTGCAGCCTTCCAGTGAATCAACTTCGGTGCACCAGAGTACCTCGCTACTGCTCTCACCGAATTCGCGATATCCGGCCTAGTCAACAGGGCAATCCACAGCAGCGACCCAACCAGCGCTCGAAACGGGTGCTCTACGCTCGGCTCGTCCGCGTCGAAGTCCCAAAGTTTCCAGGTGGTGGGCAAAGGAATGCCTCCCCCCCACTCCACACCATATCTCTCTCCCAACTCTTCGGTGTATGTCTGCTGTGAAATCGTCATCCTACCTGCCTCTCTGTCCCCCTCGTAATAGCAACCGGAGTACCACTTCAACTCCCCCAGAGACTTAACCGGCACGTACTCTCCCAGGTCCTTCCCGAATTGATCACATCTCTCCTTCGTCCCCACTGCAAAAATATCGTCTACGTGTACTACTAGAAGCAACACTACTTCCCCCCCTTCAACAAAACGAAAAAGACAAGAATCAGCCATGCACTGCTCGAACCCCAAAGCCAAAAGACACTTCTTGAGCAACGCGTACCACTCCCTAGATGCCTGCCTCAAGCCATAAAGACTCTTGTTCAACTGCACTATCTTCCCCGACAACGCACCACATCCTTCCGGCATTCGCATGAAAATATTTTCATTGAGAGGGGCCCTCACAAAGGCCTGATCGATATCGAAGTGACACAACTCCAAGTCAAGCTCACACGCCAGAGCTGCCAACATACGAACACTCGACGAAGCTACAGTAGGTGCATACAAATCGCCAAAGTCAATGTACTCCTTCTGCATGTCTCCTCTCGCAACAAGTCTAGCCTTGGCCTTTGTAGGAAAGCCGAACGCATCTACCTTCCAATCAAAAAGAAGCTTCGACTTGATGCAGTTGTCTATTCGCTGCTACGGTCCAACAATCTTAAACGCGTCTGCTTCTAGCAATCCAAACACCTCACGCTTGGCCGCATCCATGAACTGCACGCTGTGTTCGCTCTGCTTCGCCTCTCTGAAAGTCAGGGGTACTCGGAGGTCCTCGGCGTGGCAGCGCGGCATGTCGGGGCGCAGGAGAGGCGGCTCCATCTCGCGCATAGCTGAGTCAAGGTCGTCGCGCGTCGCAAGACGCGCCACAAGTCCAAGCGGAACGCCCCGCTTAGACGGACCGATCGACCAACCATTCCCCATGCGTCCCCCCTCGCCGGTGTCCACCTCCGGCAAATTGCCCTTGCTCTCTCCCACCCCCTCACTCTTCGCGAGCTGCTCGCCTCCGCCCCCCTTCTCGCCGCCCCCCTCCAATCCTGGCCGGAGCATTGTCTTGCCGTTCATGACTCGCCGAGCATCCAGCATGGACAGGAGGACGTCTTCGTTTGCTTGAGCTAGCAGCCCCATAGTGATCTCGGTCGGAGGGAGAGGCGTGGTGACGGCGTCGTCCTGCAGTGATGGGAAATGCCGGTCCACCGATATGGCAGAAAGCTGCTGCTGGGCGATGTTGCGCGCTTCCGCTCTCGTGCGTCCTCGGATCCGCGGATCTCCCCCCTCGCCTAGCAGTCTCGAAGCATGGGGCGTGAGGGGTGCGTACCCTTGTGCGGTCGCCGACTGTCGGGTCCGCCGGTCGTGGTGCGGTTGCGACGGGGACTGCTCAGCCTCGATGTGTGAGGACGACCAGTCCGGGAGCGGCGGCGACGGTGACGGTCCGGCGGCGGCAGCGGCAGCGGGCGGCGGTGGAGCGACGGATGTCGATGGCGCGGGCGGCCTCGGGAGCGGCGGAGCGGCAGCACCAGGCGAAGGCGCGGGCCACAACGCGGGCCCCGGAGGCGGCGGCGACGGCGACGGTCCGGCGGCGGCAGCGGCAGCGGGCGGCGGTGGAGCGACGGATGTCGATGGCGCGGGCGGCCTCGGGAGCGGTGGAGCGGCAGGACCAGGCGAAGGCGTGNGGTGGAACAGCGGATGTCGATGACGCGGGCGGCCTCGGGAGCGGCGGAGTGGCAGCGCCAGGCGAAGGCGCGGGCCACAAGGCGGGCCCCGGAGGCGGCGGCGACGGCGACGGTCCGGCGGCGG